TTAAACAATAGCCGATTTCCAATTGTGCTATTTTTTAAAAAGTATTTCTTAGTTTTGGAAGCACATTGCTCCAAACCTTACCGTGATGAAATCGAATGTCCTGTTGGTAATTCTGCTGCCTGCTATTTGTTGAGTTTCTGCCTATAGTCAATGAAAGAAAGGGAGAGGGGTGGGTTGGGGAGCATATTTGAGGGCGGCCCTTATTTAATATTGTATTTGTAAGGAGAGATTTTCCACGAATTCTTTATTTGCCTCGAATTTCATATATAGCTTCCAATTATTCGCTTTGACGTTGTTTTCAGTAATTCATACTGAATTTGCATAAAGAGGTTTTAGCTCCGCAAAAAGGCTCGTGCCATTTTATCGTACGTTTGATTACTTAGTGTGCGTTAACGAAATAATTCTAGAAAAAGCCAACAGTGTTTACAGCTGTCAAAATTATTTGCCACTGACTCTTTTTAACTGGACACGTTTAACTTCAATTGTGTGACTTTTAGAAAAATCATTAGTTTTCAGAATAATGGCTATTAACTTAAGTTTATCTTTTAATTTAAGCTTTCTTTTTATTCTGCACGACATCCGTTCACATTCGCACCTTTTTGCAGATGTACCTCGTTTTAATTGCATTTTACCTATATGTATTTGCGAATATAACGTTCATTAGTCCGTTGCTTAAATAGTGGCAACAGTTGAGTTTGGAATAAAGGTTTTGCTGACCTAGCAAACTTAGCTAGTTTTTGTTCCAGTACTTTTACTTTTAAAAAATAGCAACACCAACAAGCTACAACTATCTCTTTTATTTGATTTTCATTTACTTCTATTTGATTTCTGTTTACATATCTATTGTACTCTTTTGTTTTCAATGGTTATTCAAATCATATATAAGTAAGTTGCTTTGAGCTGATTTTTTTATTACATTGCTCATTACATCGAGGATTTCAGAGCTGATTACATTGCCAATTACATTTGTGAGCTAAGTTACGCTAAGTGTACAAGAATAAACGCTGTTGAAACCCAAGTTCAGTTTGCTTTTGCTGTACCAGTAGTGGTTTGATCCCGCGCCTCAAGAGAAGTGACGGCTCTTTCCCCGCAAGCGAGTTCGAGGTTTTTACCGCTCTACCACACACCCCTCCACAAGAAACTGGCTAACACATTAAACCGATAGCAGTGATGTCATGATGCCGTCAAATATTGTTAAGGGAGTAGAGTCATTCGCCATCTGGTTTACTTAAAACTGGTACAAATTGATAGTGAAAGATTTGATCTGTGCATGAAAGAATCATTAAAAGGGTAAAATTCATTGCCATCCATCATGTCCACATAATTTGCCGTAAAACTGGGGGCAGCAATCAAGTGCGAGAAATTAAATAATGGTCGTTTCGATTTGGTGTTATTCTTTTTACCTATTTGTTTGTTTGTTTGTTTGTTCGTTTGTTTTTTTTTTACCAAAAATGCACTTTAATATTAAAACGAAAGCATCAAAAATCCTATTTTACATCGATTAGTAGCAGTATTCTTGAATTAGTCCCGGAGTTTAAGTATAAAGTTGATTTCAGTTCTGGCTGCTTGCACTTGCTCGATGATTAGGAGTCTGCTTTCGAGTGTGGATACACGGGTAGCTCCTGTGAATTCACTGAATCTAACTTTTACATCTTTTAGACACGAGTTTTAATAAAAATTAAACATTTCAGTGTTACATGTTTTCCTTTTAAGCCTCCGGACCTTCCTCAAAAGAATTTGTTTTTTATGTTTTAAAAATACACACGCAAGTTGTCACGTGGGAAACACCGTCATATTCTTATTAAACACGACGACGGAACGATTACTAAGAGGTTCGAACAGATGACTTAAGAAAAGAGTGATAGCCTGGGTCTAAAGTGCCCGTGCAAGCACTTGTTTGTGGGATTGCTTAACTAGCGCATGCTCATTGTATAATTGCATATATTACATTCCGAATAATTATGTGATTCCGTGAGCCATGCCACATGCCATTCCGCAAACTCATTCCGCCTTTTACCCTCACTCACGCAGAATGACTTAAAGAAATAAATTAAACTGAAAATTGCGCCCTTTTTTGGCACGCCAATCAAGCAGCCGCTTTTTTAATGTTTCGGGCTCAACTACGATGACAAAGGACTCCTTTATTTCTCACGGTCGATTAGCTTTTTTTGCACAGCCACAAAGATTCTACTTGCCTTTATTAGTCGGGCTGCATGGCTACTTTCACTGTGCTTCACCGAAGGAGAGACGTGAGTAAAGAACCGTTTCAGTTTATTTTGGAAACGAATTACCAATGAATTATCAAGTATTGGTGTTTCAGCTGTGTTTCCATTTTAGCTTTGTTTTAGTAGCAGTAATAAACGGACTGGCAAAGCGGTTGCTCCTTCAATTTGGCGTCAAAAAAAAAACCGCGTGGCAGAGACACGCGAATGCTTTCCTGTTTGATTATTTCTTTATGCCATTTTCCATATTTTAAATTACGCATAATTATGTCATTCCGCAAACTCATTCCACCTTTTACCCTCGCCGTATACAAACTTGATGCGCATTCAAACAGTCAAGCACGCGTAGTTTGACTAACAAGGGATGCACTTACTAAGCAATGCACCACTTTACTCATTATTTCTTTTACAAAACACAGCTTTAATCTAACAAGATATTTAGTAAAGTGCGACAGTGCAGGTGTCTTGAAGTTCAATATTAGTCTCAGTGTTGCATCAAAAACGCCATAGGACTGTTCCCACTTGCTTCTTCTCATCGTAAAAATCCATCCTCACTTCTAAATGTTCTTTGTAAGTCACTTCAATCTCTAATCTTCTCCTCCCCACTCCTTCCCAGCCCTTCCCACCTGTTGAGCAATCGGCGTTAAATGTACTTGAATAGAAACTCTAGACTTCTTTTCCAATATTGTTCACAACATTTTGCGAATAGAGTCTTATTATCCCCTCCAACAAACCACATTTCATCGAGTAATTTAACATATTTTCTGGAACAAGGTGGGTTATAGCATGGTGTAATCAAGTGGCCGGCCCCATAGAGACCAAGCTTCTCACAGAATGTTTTCTTTCTATTTTGTTGCTTGCGTCGAAAAATGACCTCACACATCCATTCTACATTGGGAATAAGTAGATCATCGAGGCCATAAACAAGTAGAACAGGGCAGGATATTTGCTCCACCGGAATCGCCCATGGTGACCCTGATGTGTAAAGCTCTTCGCTTTTAAATATAGACATGAAATGTAAATAACAAGAGTCGCCCGAAGAATTCTGATTGGCAGGATAGCCAGGTATAGTCATGGTTTCAGTGGCCAACGAGCATCCAATAAACATGGGGTATCCTGAAACAGAGACCACTGCTTTGACTTTGTGTCCTAGCTGAGCAGCAAGGGCTAGCGCTAATGTGCCTCCATTAGACAGACCAACCAGGCCAACTCCACCAGACTTCACCTTCGGTTGTGAGGTAAGCCAGTCAATTGCACTCTCAAAATAGGACAACTGAAATAAGCCATACCGTTCAGGAAGGTCTTTATATTCACAGTACGCAATAGCTAAGGCTGCGAAACCATTTGCTGCTAACAGCACTGCTCTGTCCTCTCTAAGGCCACCACTGAACCCCCACATGTCCACAACACCTATAAAGAAATATAGCATCACGTTAATTATTTATTATACTGGAGCAACATAGCTATGAAAATTTGGTTATCTGTCCATCTGAGAAGTTTTAACCGTGACAGTACGTCCGTCCATCTGTGCCACAGGGGAATTAATGTAAAATAGCTCATTTTGCGGGGCAACCGCTGACCAAAATGCCAGCACACTCTGGGTACGAGATTGATTTTCTAGCTAGTGTGGAAGCCTGAAACCTGATATTGCACATCCATGTTGTGGTCAATTGACAGCTGTCAAAACATTCAAAACAGGGTTTCCGCTGACCAGTACTACATGACCGTATCGCTAGCTCAGATGTCGACCTATTTTTACGTGTTTTTGAAGTTATCCGCTGACAAGTTACTAGTTTTCAACTAATCCAGGCTTGCCTCCCAGAGGATTTCCTTGCAATAGCTACAAGTTAATTGTTTGAAGTGAATTATAAATTTGTCAACGGGAGCTTCTCCTTTAGCCTTGGCTAATCTATATATTACGGCAATCACACTCGCCATTAAGCAATGGAAGCGCTTTTAAGGTCACGTTAATAGAGAGCTTCAGCAAAGACTGTCTTTTGGGCGACGGCTGCTGTAAACTGGAAGTGTTCTTTTTTATTTATTTATTTTTTTGCATTCTTGGACAGTTTTCGGGTTCATCGTCTCCATAAGAGTAAAGACACTAGGCAATACAAATTTGCTAACGTCTCTCGTCTTGTTCGGTCAGAACTCGAACTCAATTCACTCATTTACATAATTGAAGAACGATTCACCGGCAACACAATGGGAACTGTTGGCAGTCAATGAGATAAATAAATAAATAAATAAATAAATAAGTGGAGAGAAGTGACGACGACGACGATGATGATGATGATGATGATGATGGAGTAACACAATCAATTGCAGTCTACATAATTTAGTACTCTAATGGTTTACATTGTGGCTTACAAATAAGGACAGAAAAAAATAATATGGAGGAAGGGGTCCTGAATTTTCCATTTATTTTCGTCCGCAAACACCCCACCCCCCCCGAAATCAAGGATGAAGCCGCACCGAGGCCACAACGCGCCATTTTCCCATTCTTGATGTGGGAGGAGGTTTGAAGTTTCGTTGTCCAAGATTGTAGCCCCCTAATGCACGGTCAATTAACTTTTAGGGGACTGCCATCGGGCTACAGTAAAAAACCCGCATACAAGAACATGTGGATTTAGAACACCCAGGCTGAAATTTGGTAAAAAAGGAGCATATATATAAGAACACATTCAGCCTGAAAATTGAAAATTGTTCTTATATATAAAAACTCTTCCCTTTTCAGTTTAATAGAACAGTGTCTGTAGCTTTACCGTGGTATTGCACTAA